AGAAAGGGATTTTAGAGGATAAATTGCCCATTTTTCTGGTTTCTTTTGTACTATTTATATATTAATTTTTGACACTAAATTCATACTTCTGTCATCTTTGTAATATTCACCTAGTTTGAGAGTGTTTTTTAAAATCTTTGTTTCCTACCAGTATTTACTGTAGTATACAGTAATTACTGACTCCATCTTTGAAAATAAAAATGATTTTTAAATTAAATATATAATAAAATTAATCTTTTATATAGCTCACTCAAAACATAATTTTTATTATTAAAGCATTATGAATATACTTTCTAAGGTATTTTGTAAATCCAGGTGGATTTTAATAATTAAATGCCTATTTTGTAATATGCTGCATTTTTATTCTTAATCATCCTGAATTATGGGATTTTCATACAATAAAAATAATTTATATTATTATGCTGTTTCTTTTCATTTGGTGAATTTAAATGACTTCCTTTGTATAATAACATAGGTAAAGGTTTTTAATATGACTGTTGAAAGAATGTAAATCAGTATGCTAAAGTAATGCATTGTCATTTCATGTGCATTTTATTATTTTTATAAGTTTTTATTTATGTTGAAAATTATTTTAAAGACAGCTAAATATAATGTATTACCTTATGATTCTACATGATGTGATATCTTCTGTTATATGTGTATATACCATATATACAGTATTGTATATAATTGGTGTCAGGTATCAAACTATGCATAGAAACTACATTAGAAAGAAATGTTGCATAATGCTAATAGAGAATTTGTTAGAGTTATTGGTTTTACAGCTTTCTCAGTTTTTAAACTACTTTTGTAATTTATAGGAGAAGCAAGTTAACGATTTTATATAAATTATTTAGATGCCAAGTTTTCTACAAGTTTAAAATGAAATGTTCTTTTAAATGACAGACAGACAGACAAAATACTAGAATTCACCTAATAAGTAAAACTTCCTGTGAGTAGCCTGGAAAAGCTCACCAACAGAAAATGCCATTATATTTGCAGCTAATCTTTTGCCAGGTGGTCTCTTACTATGACAGTATTTTGAACTGATACTCACTTTGATGTTCCGTGGTACTCATGTTACTTGGTTTCTCCCATTCCAACTAAAGAAATCAAATACTTCCAGGTGGCAAAATCTTTTCAGCAGTAAAACTGCTTACACAAATAAAGCAGTAGCCTATAAACTTCATCATACTCAGGTTTAATATCAAATTTTCTTTAAGTGGCATATTACTTTGTTGCTGAGATTGTGCTGACACTGCTTAGTTAATGTAAAAAATTAATTTCAGCTGATACAAAGAACAAATTACTTCAAAACCTACATTATATGTGGTATGGTTATTATTATTATTTTTTTTGACAGGCAGAGTTAGACAGTGAGAGAGACAGAGAGAGAGTTATAGACAGTGAGTGAGAGAGACACAGAGAAAGGTCTTCCTTCCGCTGCTTCACTCCCCTAATGGCCGCCACGGCCAGCGCTGCGCGGATCCGAAGCCAGGAGCCTTTCCTCCGGGTCTCCCATGCAGGTGCAGGGACCCGAGCACCTGGGCCATCCTCCACTGCCCTCCCGGGCCACAGCAGAGAGTTGGACTGGAAGAGGAGCAAGCGGGACTAGTACCCGGTGCCCCAAGTGGAACTAGAATCCAGAATCCGGGGTGCCGGTGCCACAGGCGGAGGATTAGCCAAGTGAGCCGCGTTGCCGGCCTGTGGTATGGTTATTAAAACAGCAATAATCCTTTACCTTTGTGGAAACAGATTAAGAGAAACTTTTTAATTTTTTTAGAAAAAGTAGAACTCAGAAATGAGTTTAATCAAAAGGATCAGCTTAAAATTAAAGGAACACAGGGAAAAATTATTTGCCTGTTTAGGGCATAAATTATAAATTCCTTCACTGTGCTGCTAAGGAAGCAGAATTTATGACCCTGGTAAGTCAGTCAGTGGTCTCCAAATTATATTGCTTTCTATTAGTGAACATTTTAAATATGCATTTATGTTTATATTGTTGTATTAGTTTTGTAGGGCTGCCAAAACGAGGTGCCACAAGCTAGTGACTTAAACAACTAATTCATCTTCTCCTACTTTGGGGTTGGAAGTCCAAGATCAAGGTTCTGACGGGTGTCTCATAAGGTCTCTGACTGTGGCTTACAGAGATGTCCTCTTCTTTTTTTTCACCTTAGTGTCTCTCAGTGTGTCTTTTTATAGGGACATTATCAGACTTGGATTAGGACTCACCCTAATAGCCTCATTTCAACTTAAAATCACTTCTTTTAAGCTCCTATCTTAAAATACAGCCACATTCTGAGATACTAGGCATTAAGGCTTCCCCATAGGAATTTTTAGGAGATAAGTTTTGGTCAGTAATGTTACATTCACTCAATAAATTATTATTCACAATAAATATTTTTAAATGAAATTAAAATATTAAATAACAATTCCTTGTATTTGCATCCTAGTCTGCTGGAGTTTGGTCACATCACTTTAGAGCCCTAAACTAATAAAATGAGATCCTCACCCTAAGTGAAAAGTTCAAGATTGCCTATAATGATGTTATCTCTAGCTTGATCACAGGTTTCTCTGTTATACATTTTAAGATCTTTCGATATGAGATTGCTTTACCACAAAACCTGACCTCACCTTTTTGGCAACATAAACCTCTACATAAACATGAATAGTTTTGAGACACTTACTTCATAAATATGAAAGTTTATAAACCTTTGCTAGTATAAGAGATGATCTAAAAAGTGTAGTTACTCCCAAATAGTTCTTAGATCAACACCACAATAAAATTGGTTTTATATGTAAAAATTATTTTCCTGCTTATAGTTAAGTCATTAAATGCTATCATTATAAAACAAAAAAACCAATGTAATTTCTGCCAGGAACTCCATCCGTGTCTCTGATGTGGATGGAAGGACCTCAAGAACTTTAGCCATCTTCTGATTTCCAGATGCATTTACCAGGAGCTAGATTGGAAGTGGAGTAGCCAGGACTCAAACCAGCACTACAGATTAGGATGTCAGCATCCCAAGCAGCAGATTAACCCGTATCAGCTCAGTTTCTTATGTCTGCTGTAATTTTTATTTTTATTTTTTATTATTTTTTTTATTTTTTGACAGGCAGAGTGGACAGTGAGAGAGAGAGACAGAGAGAAAGGTCTTCCTTTTGCCGTTGTTTCACCCTAGGCTAATCCTCCGCCTTGCGGCGCCGGCACACCGGGTTCTAGTCCCGGTTGGGGCGCCAGATTCTGTCCCGGTTGCCCCTCTTCCAGGCCAGCTCTCTGCTGTGGCCAGGGAGTGCAGTGGAGAATGGCCCAAGCACTTGGGCCCTGCACCCCATGGGAGACCAGGATAAGTGTCTGCTGTAATTTAAAACAAGTGTCCTAACAGTTTCTATTCATAAAACTTAATGTGGAGGTTAGCTATTTTGGGTGAAGGCAGGCTGGAGTTAAACCATTAACATTTTAGGATGCACAAATATTGACTATAGATAGATAAAGTGCCTAAATATAAAAAGATCAAGCTGTAAAATGGGTAGGGAGGAAGAAATAATTAGCTTCCTTTCTTGGGAAGAAATTTATAAGCCTGAAAGCAATGGAAGCAATAACAAAATAAATATTTGATAAAATTTAGTTTCACATTAAAAAAAATTATTTATTTATTTGAAAGGCAGAATTACAGAGAGGCAGAGGCAGAGAAAGAGATCTTCCATCTGCTGGTTCACTCCCCAGGTGGCCCTAAAGGTTGGAGCTGGGCCGATCTGAACACAGGATCCAAGAGCTTCTTCCAGGTCCTCCATGTGAGTGCAGGGGCCCAAGGACTTGGGCCATCTGCTTTCCCAGGCCATATCAGAGAGCTGGATGGGAAGTGGAGCAGCCGGGACTCAAACTGGCGCCCTCATGGGATGTTGTGCTGCAGGCAGCAACCTTACGTGCTACACCACAGTGCTGGCCGGCCCCTAGTTTCACATTTAAAGTCAAACGTTTTAAGACAAATTGGAAAAGCATGACATAGCCAACATTTCTATTATAAACATAATAGCATCACCAAGACATATTATAGCTATTAGAATTTGAGATAGTACCTAAACAAAAGACATACTTAGAAATTATAATAATCAGAAGTGCATACACAAATCCATGAGGAAAAATATATTTAAAATAAGAAATGTTGAGGGCTGGTGCCGTGGATTAAGCTGCTACGTGCAGCACCAGTATCCCATATGGGTGCCTGTTGAGTCCCAGCTGCTCCACTTCCAATCCAGCTCCCTATGTGCCTGGGAAAGCAGAGGAAGATGACCTGAGTCCCTTAGCCTCTGCTGCCCACATCAGAAAGGTGAAGCTCTTGGCTCCTGGCTTCAGCCTGGCCCAACCCCAGCCGTTGTGGGCATTTGAAGAGTGAACCAGTGGATGAAAGATTCTCTCATTCTATGTAACCCTGCCTTATAAATAAATAAATATCTTAAAAAATAAGAAATGCTGAGTTCAAAATAGTAGAATACAATATGACCTCTTTTCAAGTGTAATAAGTGTAATAAGCACTTGCCTGAGAAGCATGAGTGTGGTTTCTGAAGGTGAGCGAGGCAGGTCCTTAGGCATTTGGTAGCAAGGCATGTTAGTGAAACTTGGAGCAGCAGCTCACTTTTGGGCATTTTCTGCTTCCTAGTTTCTGCTATACACTTTACATGTGTGCGTCAATGTTAACACTGTTTGAAGAAAGGCGACATTGTCCCCTGAGCTACCTCTAGGAAAAGGCATGAATCAAGTTCCTTTTCACCAGTTTCCACGAGCGTTAAATACCTGGCCTTTCGGGGGTTTTCAGAGTGGCTTATTCACATTAATTCGCTTCTGAGCACATTTTAAAACAAAGGTCAGAAAACTGAACACTGACAAACGTTATTGTACCACGCCCTAGCCACACAGTCCGGCGGGAGGCTTGGCTTTCCACGCCCCGACCGCCCAAAGCTCCACCTACGGGCCTAGGCCACGCCCCTAGCAGCGGTGCTCTCTCGCCTACCGCCGCCTCCAAAAGTCACCGGCAATGGGAACGACGCGAGTGCCTCTCGCGGGACCTCTGTGTAGTAGGCGAGATCTTGACAAGGCCGGCACAGTAACGTCTCGCGAGAACATGACGAGACAGCGTGCGGAGGAAAGCGAATTACGGCGAGTCCCGGAAGTCTGCCTGTGGTTTCTGCGCTGTGGCGGCTTTTTGAATGCGAAGCGGTGTAGACGTCTTTGGAAGCTCCCGGCAGGAATATGCTGACCCGGGTGAGGCCTAGGGCGCGGCCTGCCGCCTGTGACTGAACCACACAGCTCTCCACGGTGGCGAGGGAGGGGCCGGGATGGGGGCGCCACACCTTTGGGACGTTTGTCCTCTCCGGGGTTCCTTGGCTTCGGGGGCCTGAGCCCTGCGGTAATACCGAGCGCGCGCTTAGGCGAGCGTTCTTCGTCTTTTTTTTCCCAAGCGCTCGCCTCCGTCCCCGGGTAACAGACACTTCACTGCAGCCCACACGCATTCCGTTTTGTTCTGCTTGAGGGATGAGACTGATCCTTGCGTTGAACGGCGCTTGGGGCAGGCACTTGTGTGAGTGAACAGTTGGAAGCAAGTTTCCAAAGGAAACCGAAGTGACTTTTGCTAAGTAAACTTTTTATTTTGGAGTTATTTAAAACTTACAAGAATATTGTAAACATAGAGCGGAGTCCCATGGACCTCCCAGCAAATTCCTCTTGATGTTAAATATCTGTGACTTTTTAAAGTTGTAGACTTTTCGACACAGTTTCCCTAGCACCTCTAGATTCTGCTTTAACCTTGGCCTCACCTTTAACAATAATCGTTTGGAGAATCCCTGCTCTTTCATAAGTAGAATATTGTGATATAATTTTGTCACAGGTGAGATATTGCTCCCACTTCAAAGGCTAGTAATTTTCCAAAAACGTTCTTTTAAAAAAGATAAAGACTGCTAATGTTGAAATTCAATAAATTTGTAATAATATCAGTGTGTCAGCAATTTTTTCTTATCATCATAGCTGAAAGCACCAAGAGAAGGGAAGCTTGCAAAACAGATTTGCAAAGTTGTGTTGGATCATTTTGAAAAACAGTATTCCAAAGAACTTGGAGATGCGTGGGATACAGTAAGGTTAGTATAATTCATCTCTTTATTATAATAGAACAGAGGAAGTCAAGTGTACCTTTTAGGCAGAGGGAGTAAAGGTAAAAGAATCTGGCTGGCCTTCCCTATTGAGGCTGTAGAAGAGAAGAACTAAGAGGAAATATATTGAATCATAAGATGTAAAGGGGAGAAAGAAAACTTTGTAATAATGGGAAGCAAAAATTGTTAGGTCTTTGCCTTGAGCAGTTGCTTCCATCCTTCCAGTAAGAATGCCTATCAATTTGACAAATTTATATAGGAACATAAAAATCAGAAAATGGCATAATTGACTAGTTTTGAAATTCAGAAAATAACACAAGTCTTTAAAGGTACCACCACATTGTCTTAGCTAAAGTCACACTGGTAATCGTGGTTTTTCTGTATGATGTTTATGACTAGCTATGTAATTACACACATATATGTGTACGCAAAAACTAAACTATATTATAAAAATATGAGAAACATGGCCGGAGCTGCGGCTCACTAGGCTAATCCTCCACCTTGCAGCGCCGGCACACCAGGTTCTAGTCCCAGTCGGGGCGCAGGATTCTGTCGCGGTTGCCCCTCTTCCAGGCCAGCTCTCTGCTATGGCCAGGGAAGTGCAGTGGAGGATGGCCCAAGTATTTGGGCCCTGCACCCCATGGGAGACCAGGATAAGTACCTGGCTCCTGCCATCGGATCAGCACGGTGCGCCGGCCGGGCCGTGGCGGCCATTGGAGGGTGAACCAACGGTAAAAGGAAGACCTTTCTCTCTGTCTCTGTCTTTCACTCTGCCTGTCCACTCTGCCTGTCAAAACAAAACAAAACCAAAAATATGAGAAACTAATGCATAAACCTAAGTGAGGAAAATTTGAGTTTTGTGTATCTTGAGTTATGCTGTTGATTAGAATGTTACTGTATGGGATTTTTTAAAAAAAGATTTATTTATTTATTTGAAAAAGTTACACACAGAGAGAAGGAAAGTTAGAGTTACGCACAGAGAGAGGTCTTCTATCCTCTGGTTCACTCCCCAGTTGGCCACAACTTCTGGAGTGAGCCAATCCAAATCCAGGAGCCAGGAGCTTCTTCCAGGTCTCCCACATCAGTGTGGGGGCCCAAAGACTTGGGCCATCTTCTACTGCTTTCCCAGGCCATAGCAGAGAGCTGGATTGGAAATGGAGCATCCAGGACTTGAACCAGCACCCATATGGGATGCCAGCACTGCAGGTGGCAGCTTTACCCACTATGCCACAACACCAGTCACCGTGTATGGGATCTTGACATCGAGTGCCTAATACATTATGTGATAATGTTCTCTGGAATACAGAGCAAGACAGACTGGAGCTTATGAGGGTGATGAGGAGAGGGGCATAATTACAACTAGTAAGCTGCTGATTTGGGAATACTATCATAGAAGTAGTCAGGAGGGCATTGTCTTTTTTTTTTTTTTTTTTTTAAGATTTATATATTATTTGAAAGGCAGAATTACAGAGAGAGAGAGAGAGCTTCCATGCACTGGTCCACTCTCAAATGGCTGCAATGACCAAGGCTGGGCTAGGCTGAAATCAGGAGCCAGGAGCTTCTTCCTTGTCTCCCACATGGGTTTCCCGGGTGCATTAACAGTGAGCTGAATTGGAAGTGGAGCAGCTTGGACCCAATCCCATGCCTGTTTGGGAAGCCAGCGCTGAAAGCTGTGGCTTTAACCTGCTGAACCACAGCACTGGCTCTGAGGACCTTGTCTTACTTATCAAAGCCTGAGGGTACACTTGAAAGCCTGAAGAAAAAGCAAGTCTTGGTGACAAAAGGAGGAATACAGGTTGTGGAAATGGTGGAGCTGCTGGTGAAGTGAGGCATGAAGCCTAATACATTTTGAACAGAGGAATAAAGTTACATGGCTTCTAATAATACCTGGAACTTGAGGTTCAGGAAAAAATACAGTAAATCTTTAAAGCGAAGGCTGTCATGCTGGTAATCACATTTTCACCCTGTTATGTCTGTGACTTGCTATATTTTGAACACATGTACACAAATACACATTAAATTTCAGACAGTAATATCCTGGATTTTATTCCATGTCTCTGTGGATCAACTTAAGAAATATTTAGTTACAAATGAAAGAAAGAAACAGAGGGGCCAGCATTGTGATGCAGCAAGTTAAGCTGGCACCTGTGATTGCCCACATCCATTATGGGCCCAGGTTCAAGTCCTGGCTGTACCACTTCCTAAACCAGCTCCCTGTTAATGAGCCTGGGAAAGCAGTGGAAGATGGCTCAAGTCCTTAGGCCTCTGGCACCTGCAGTGGTAGTCCGGGAGGAATCTCCTGGCTCCCTGCTTCAGTCTGTCCCAGCCCCAGCCCCAGCCCCACCCCTGGCTGTTGCTGCCATTTGGGGAATAAACCAGCAGGTGGAAGATCTCTGTAACTCTGCTTTTCTAATTAATTAAACAACAACAACAAAAAGAAATGGAGAGAGTGGAGGAAGGGGGAAGAAAAGGTATATCCTTATATTCTTAGAATTGTATCTATGAACTACATTGAATCTGAACTCTTTGTGATTAACATGAGAATTGAGAATTGTGTTGTAGTAAGTTTGCATTTCCTGAAACCCTGAGAATCTAATGTATTAATAAATTCTTTAATAAATAAACTAAAAAATACTACTTTACAAAGATGTTTTTTAAAGCAAAGAGATTTAATCTTTCCTAATAGGTGGTTCTAAGATAATTTTTTTAACTTTTTTTAAAAACTTACTCTATAATTTCATCCTCCCATGCCTTTTATTTTATTTTATTTTACTTATTTGACAGGTAGAGTTATAGACAGAGAGAGAGACAGAGAAAAAGGTCTTCCTTTTCCATTGGTTCACTCCCCAAATGGCTGCCACAGCCAGTGCTGCACCGATCTGAAGCCAGGAGCCAGGTGCTTCCTCCTGGTCTCCCATGCAGGTGCAGGGACCCAAGCACTTGGGTCATCCTCCACTGCCCTCCCGGGCCACAGCAGAGAGCTGGAGTGGAAAAGGAGCAACCAGGACTAGAACTGGTGCCCATATGGGATGCCGGCGCTGGCCCCTGGTTCTAAGATAATTTTACGACAAATTAAACTGGGAAACTCATAAATACTATAATATGAAGACTTAGTTTATAGTTGTGTTCTTTCTTTCTTTCTTTTTTTTTTTTTTTTTTTTTGACAGGCTGAGTTAGACAGTGAGAGAGAGAGAGAGAGACAGAGAGAAAGGTCTTCCTTCTGTTGGTTCACCCCCTGTGTTTTTTTTTTCAAAACTGACATCAAAATGGGTGTCTTCTTATCACAGAGAAGAAGGAATGAATAGTGATGTGTGTAATAAATTCCTGGGGTTTTCAGTATGCCAGGACTCAATTATGATAGCTAAATAACCAAACATCAACTGCAGGCTTATTATATGCCATGAAGTACTGACTGATGTGATCCTCAAAGCAAGTCTGTGAGGTTTGTTTTTTCTGTTTCACCTGATACTCAGCTGGTATGTGGCAGAGCTGAGACTTGTGCTCAGTTTCTCCACTGCCTCTCATAGCTGGGATGTAATTAGACATGCTTGGATGATTTCTTTTTTTATATATAGAAAGCTTTTATTTAATAAATATGAATTTCATAAGTACAACTTTTGGATTATAGCTGTTCTTCCCCCCATACATGCCCTCCCAACCTCAAACCATCCCACCTCCTACTCGGTCTTCCATCCCATTCTTAAATCTCAAGAACTACTTTGTTGCAGACGTCATAGTAATCTGGATACGTGTATCCTATAATGAGTTATTTTTCTATTTAGTGTGCTGAGACAGACTTGTAAATTATTATTTGACCCTAAACAAATTATCAGTGAACCTTAAATTGATCTAATTAGTTGTGTCTTCTGCGTCATCTACCTTTTTGTTGGATTTTCATGGTAATTTAAATTTTGCATAAACATATGCTAAATTTGCTTTAGGCAAAATAAAGCCTGTCTCAGCTTAGAAAGAAGTTGGCATAAGGAAATAAGAACAGAATTATGTATTTTTGTTTTGTAGTTGTTTGCAAGGTACCATGCTTGCTGAGCCTATTTTTTTGTAAGGAAAGCAAGTTTTTTTTTTCTCTATCTAGGAAGTAATTTATTCAATATTTCTGGTTTCCTGTAGTAGTGGGGGAGATTTAGTACTTATTTTAATTTTATTATTATTTTTAAAGATTTATTTATGTACTTGAAAGGCAGAATGACAGAGAGAAATTCCATTCACTAGTTAACTCCTCAGATTTTCATATTGGGAACTAAACCAGGGGACCAGAAGTCTATCTAGGTCTCTGTGAGTGGCAGGGGCTGGCACTCTGAGGTAGGATGCTGGCATCACAAATCATACCTCAACCCGCTGCACAACACAAGCCCCTAGTTTTATTATTGTGTAATAACTTTTCTTGCTGAATTACCCTCTGAACAGCCCTTCAGAGTTGGAGTTTACCATGGTTTAGTTTTTGCTCTCCTTGTTGCTTATGTGTTCTCCTTCAGAGAAGCCAATTTAGGGAATAATGTTAAATATCCATGAATGAGATGTCATCTTACGCTGCATGGTCCTTCTCAAGATTCAGTTCCATACTTTTAAGTTGTCATGCTTAGCACATTTCAAAGCATATTAAACTGTTTCCTTTCCATACTTAGGTTGCTTTTGCTACGGCTTACATTATCTCATTTGAAGGCTTCACAATCTTTTTACCTCCTTTCTTATCCACACTTTGACTGCCTTTGTGGTAAAGCATGAACCTTACTCTGGAATAGGCCTAGCATTTGCCCTCAGCTCCTGATCTCTAAGTCCTTGGAACTTTCTCTTTACCAGGGAGCGTGGGTCACACTTGTCTTAATGTGATTCATGTTGGAAGCTGTGGACTACAAATATGGGCTCAACCCCCCGAGAGAGGCTAGAGATTTAAAATCAAACATATGGTTAGTCAATCATGTACATGACCACAGCGACATAAAAATCACTAAGGATTTGGTGAGTATTCT